AAGTTATCCTTATAATTACCCTGTAGTTTGTTCTGGTAGGGTAAGTAGTTTAAATACCTAGTCGTTTTTAACACGAGGTTATCCTTATAATTACCCTCTAGTTTGTTCTGGTAGGGTAAGTAGTTTAAATACCTAGTCGTTTTTAACACGAGGTTATCCTTATAATTACCCTCTAGGTTGTTCTGGTAGGGTAAGTAGTTTAAATACCTAGTCGTTTTCAACACGAGGTTATCCTTATAATTACCCTCTAGTTTGTTCTGGTAGGGTAAGTAGTTTAAATACCTAATCGTTTTTAACAAGAGGTTATCCTTATAATTACCCTGTAGTTTGTTCTGGTAGGGTTAGTAGTTTTAATATATAGTCATTTTCAACACGAGGTTATCCTTATAATTACCCTGTAGTTTGTTCTGGTATAGTAAGTAGTTTTAATATATAGTCATTTTCAACACGAGGTTATCCTTATAATTACTCTGTAGTTTGTTCTGATATATTAGTAAGTAGTTTTAATATATAGTCATTTTCAACACGAGGTTATCCTTATAATCACCGTGTATTAATAATTTAATTGTTTACGCTATTAAAAGGCTATTGGTCAACTACCCCATGATGCCCTTTGTTAAACCTGAGAACCAATATATTTATATGAGCACGTGTTTGTTATAAAGTAACCTTTGATAACATTCGCTGAAAGAGATATACTTACCAACATGGACAAAGTCGATGGCTCTCAAAAAACCAACATTTTTCTTTGATCTTTTGCTTTAGAATTTTGCGCAAAGCTACTCGAGGCCTTAATTTACAAAGTGACAGATTAGAGACAAGGCAGCTAGTCAACCCCCTCCCCCCAGCCAACGAATAGTGGAACTGACCGTCACATTATAACGCCCCTTATGGCATAAAGGGCGATAATGTTCAATGATTGGATTCGAGGCCGGTTTGTTATATATATATGTATATATTATTTGTTACGTTGGGATACAGGTCAAGGACGATCAAGGACACGATGAACTTTAACTACCACAGTCTAGCATTTCCTGATTCATATTCATTCAACTTCTCCAAAATTTA